AAGTCCAGGAAATTCTCTCCATGAAGGGGAAGCTGGATGCTATGATACGTGCCTACAATCTCAGTGATGACTGGCAGAAAGTCTAGAGTAGGTGAATGGCAGCTCAGGCCCAGGCCTGATAAAACAGTCTAACACTATCAGTGACAAACAGGACTGGAAGTATGGCTCAGTGGTATACCAGCCCCATAAGCAGAAGGCCCTAAATTCAAGCCTTAGTAAAATAGACAGATTCTAAAAGGTAACAAACACTATTCTAAGTCCTTTATTATACATTAATTCAGGCCTCATAGCAACTGTTATCTGCTTGTTACAAATGAGGAGGCTGAGGCTCACAAAGGTTAAGTTCCTCACTCACAATCATGAGGCCAAGCAAACTGCTCTTTATCTGCACTGTTTACAGCCACCACACATGTCTGTGCACACATGTGCATATCCACAGAAGCACTATGCAAATTTGGCCTCATTTACTCCATCAGTTCTCTGGCCATCTGCTATGGTTGAGACTTGAATGTCTCCCAAAAGGCCCAAGTGTTAGAAGGCTTGGTCTCCAGCCTGGGGCATCCTGGCGGGTGGTGTCATGGGGACATGGCCTGGAAGGGGATAGCGGGCCCCTAGTCTCTCTCTTTTTCTTTTAGTTCCTGGCTGCCGTAGATGAGCAGTTCACTCTTCCTTGTGCTTCCGACCTGGACCCTCTATGAACCAAAATACAAGCTTCTTCCTTTTAAATTCACTCTCTCAGGTATTTCACTACAGCAGTGGAAAACTGTTAAATAGGTATTCAATTGCAAGAAACAGAAAGGCCCCATCTTGAGAGGTCAAATTGGAGTCTTTACTAGAAAACCAGTAACTGCAGGTGGACTCCTGTCTCAAAGACCTGCAGCCCAGAAAGGAGTTTGCACAGCGCTTTTAAAGACAAAGCTGTGCGTGGGGTGGAGACTCAAGCCTTTTAGGGGAATACTCAAAGCAAACCATTTAGGGAAGCAGTAAAGGTAAGCATTCGGACTATCTCCACAGCAGAGCTCTGCTAGCATTCCTGGAGCTAAACACCGTGACCCATCTACAGTTCAAAGAATGGCTTATCTCACTCTAGGCTTTCCCCCAGACACCAGGATGGCTGTGGAACAAGGAGCTATTCCATTTCGCTATCGTTATTCACCTATCAGCACTATCAGGTTCCTCCACTGTGTGCACGGGGCACACTCGGAGGTGGGCAAAGGACACATTTCTAGTTAAACAACAAAAGGTCAGTACAGATGTGAAGCAAGCGGGGTTCAGGGAGCCCTCCTGGAGTTAGCCAGGCGGTGGGGTGGGGAGGGGGGGTCAGATGTTAGGAGGAGGGCCAGGACAGTGACACGGTTGCACCACAGCATGGAACCCAATGCACCCACTCTTTTCTCCTAGTCAACAAGGCTGGAAGGGCCAGTGTCCTCGCAGAGCATCCGGTCTCATGGGAGCCCATCTCAGAATCAAAGCGGCTTCTGTAATACCTGCAGCAAAGCAGGAAGAAACAATCCAAAGGCCAAAAGAAGCACGCTTTATTGAGTTTACAAGGCACAAAGTATTTGTAGTTCATTAGATAATTGCGTTGCAATAAAATTACACTTTATGGTATAATTATTAATGGTTCAAAGAGAAATAAACAGTATAAACAAAATAAGGCCCACACCATGAAAATGTAAACCACATAAATCAAAATCCATAAAAAATTATTCAATGCTCAGAGGCCTGCGTAACATATACATACAACATTTCTTATATACATATAAAAAAGGGCCACAAACCTTCACTCTGAAACCAGTCATTGTATATATATGAAAATAAGGCTTTATCTTTAACCTCAATTTTATCTTCAACAGGAGGGCTGTGTGGCTTGAATTTATGCAAATCATGCTTTGTATTAAATAATCAAATGTCACCTACAGCATATAAAGCAGCAAGTAGAAAAAAATAAATTAGGGAAATGAACAGGACTTAAAATTAATGGTAAACAATTGCCTCATTATCCAATATTATTTTTCACAGTGAAATTAATATATTACCCAATGTGTCCAGAGGCATAAAAAGGAGTGTAGCTTAATTGTGATATTAAAAGAAAATAGAGAAGTGGGCTAACTCCCACAGGCATATGCAAAAAATAACTAAACTGAGCCTAAGTTAATAGCACTAAGTACTTTTGTTCTTACTGAAGGCAAACCTCAAATCTGAGAACACCTTCATGAAATTAAAATATGGAGTAAATAATCGTTGATCTCCCCAAAAGGCAATTAGGTGACTTTTCTTAAACAGATTTGCCAACTAGAGATATGTCCCTAAACAGCATGGTGCAGCCATACTCAGATTCTCGAGGATGGCTAGTCTGTCTGTCCAAACGCAGTGGTAATGTCCCAATCAAGTTAGTGTGCCCACTGCATAACTGAGAAGCAAAGATCCAGATCATCTGCATCAAAGGAATGATCTTATTACAAATAGCAAGATAAATACAAGGATTTTCAGGAAGAAATAAGGGTCATATAATAAGATGCATATCAACACAGCTTGGGTAGTAAAACCCAAATATGTGTCCCACTTGGTAACACAGGTCTAATGGCCCATGTGTAACTCACCTGGGCTCCAAACCTCACTGAGTCCCAAGATTGGAGGGGGGGGACAGCAAGGTTTTGTTTGACCATGCCACATAAAATATAACTACTCGCAACCCCCACCGAGGTTATTCTCACAGTGTCCCATGAACACTGGTCAGAAACGCTACCTATTTTTTCAAGGAACCAAAAACTACCAAACAGCAACTCAGAGTTACTGGGGATATAATTTCCCAGTAAAAAGAATAAATGACTTTAGTAGGGAGAAAGCACATTTTTAAAGGCTAAATGATGTTGTAGTTATTTATCATTTTTTAGTGTAACATATCTAGTCAACTCCCATATTTTAAAAGAATGAAGTTTAAGTAATTTGAAGTTTGATCATAAAAACCATCTACAGGCTAGGTGCCAGTGGCTTCCACCTATAGTCCTAGCTACTCAGAAGGATGAAATCTGAGGATCAATGTTCAAAGCCAGCCCAGTCAGACAAGTTTGTTTAAAAAAAAAAACAGCACAATAGAAATTAAGCTCAAATAAAGTACCAGCTAAGAATAAAAAAGCTAGTAAGTTAGAGCAGGTGGCTGGTATTGGTTCACACCCCAAAAGAAAAGAGAAAAATCATCTACAGGAAGGTTGCCACATGCATGGCATTGTTTCCACTCAACAAAAAGAAACGTTTTGAACTTACATAATACAATAAATCACAGAGACCATTTATACGACTCTTGTTGGCAAGCTGCTTAGAGCCTGGGCCTACATGAATCTAGATAGGCTCAAGTCTTTCACTGGGAACACATTAATTGGCTCAAACTCCTGGGAGCAGGTATCACGGATCCACCTTGGGTCAGGTAGTGACTTGGCTGGCTTCTTGTTGTTGTTGTTGTTGCATTTTTGTTGTTCTTGCAAAGGCGGTGTACAGAGGAGTTACGGCTACATAAGTCAGATAAAGAGTACATTTCTTTTTGAACAGTGTCACCGCTCTGTTGGCTTTTAAGAGCCACACACACACAAGTGTGGCAATCTATGAGATACTTAAGGTTCTAGACTGATCAGGCTTCTGATGATTAAATCAATTAAACCAAGGACTCACCTTTTTAATATTTCTTTTGTTGCTTATTATTTAAGGAAGTTAATGTTTGAAACCAGGGGGTTAGTTAGGGGACTGGCACTGAATGACAGCTTTGAACTATGGGAAAGAGTAAAATAACATGGATATTTTCATATGGCAAATGGTAAGTCATTCTAATGCCAAGATACTTCTTCATGAGATATAAATTACATGCCTTATAAATTAGCCTTTCAGGGGCTGGGAAGGTGGCTCAGTGGTAGAGCGCTTGCCTTGCATGAATGAGGCCCTGGGTTCGATTCCCCAGCACCACATAAGCAAAAAGAAAAAAAGCCGGAAGTGGCACTGTGGCTCAAGTGGCAGAGTGGTAGCCTTGAGCTGAAGAGCTGAGGGACAGCACCCAGGCCCAGAGTTCAGGCCCCACAACCGGACCCCAAAAAATAAATAAATAAAAATAAATTATCCTTTCAAAGTGGACAATGCATCAGTTTCTTCATAAATGAAGAAAGGTCCACAACCAATACCACTATTGTCATTCTGGAACAATCTTGTTATTCTCCAAAGAAACCCATGCTCCTGAGCAGCCACGGTCAGCAGCCTGTTCCTCGGCCTCTTGTCCTCCGTTGGTGCATACTTTTCTGCTGAACAACATTCCTGGCATTGTACTTTCTATAGTATACAACTTTACAAGTTTACCTTAAAATTAAGTATTCTCAAGTTATACAATGCCTTCCTTTGTATTCAATCCTTTTTCAAGCATGTTTTCTTTATACATAAAAAATAGAGCTTTTTTTCATCAGAGCCTAAAATGCAGCCTTTTTTCTTCAATTAAATTGTTATCCTTTCAGAAGTGAAAAAAATCAATATCCCCATATTTAAGAAGTGAGACACCTGCTCTACGGGTGTCCTTGGAGCAGCCCTTCCTACTGCTAAGAATGCTACAAATTCCGAGAGGTGTCGGGGACCATGGGGTCTTTGAGGCTAAACTTCTGACTTTACAGAAAGGAAAAAAAAATCTACGATGGGCCAGTGACTTAGCCAAGAGCACCAGGCTTCAGCGAGGCTTCGGTTCAAAGTCCTCAGATGAGGACTGCTTTGGGTCAAGTGTGTAAGTAAGTCCCAGCTGAGGTTAGCTAACAGCTATCTTATGAACCTGATTAAATCTGTAGTTTATCAGACATCATTAACCTGAGCACGTGATCTTGTTTTTTATAAAAAAAAAAAAAGAAAAGAAAACAACAACCAGATAACAAACATAAACAAACTATCTTTAACGAGTTACAACAAAAGTACCAGAAGGCCCAAATCTAATGGCTCACTGGGAAACAGCGAAGAGCTCAGCAGGAGCTGGATGGAGCGCAGTCCACACTCTCCATCGCACGCCACACCCTATTAGGAACCAATGAGTCACAGAACTCAGTGTGGTGGAAATGAAGACGTTTCAGGGATGGTTGGGACTTAGCCATTGCAACAATTCTTCATCTGAGTAGACTTTTTGGAACCAGTCCCGGCCAGATTGGTGATGGATTTGCTGTCATCCTCCTCCGTCCTTTTCTTCACTTCCCTGGAGGTTGGTGGGAGCAAGGAAGAGGATTACTCAGGTACAAATGGCTCAACAGAAATAAACAGCAATGCCGAGGGCTGCGTGAGCCGTGTACACATGGCTCTAAATTCTTGGTAGGTGTCAACTTACTAAAACTTCACGAGAACCCTCTGGGTTAATTGTGTCCCCTTGTGCGTGTGAGGAAAAGAAGACAAAGAGGTTCAGAAATTTCCCTTTGATTAAATGGGATTCAAATCAAACAGACTGGTTCTAGGGCCTGTGTTCTGACCACCAGGTCTTTCTCTTCTCTTCTCTCTCTTCTCTCTCTCTCTCTCTCTCTCTCTCTCTCTCACACACACACACACACACTCTCTCTCTCTCTCTCTCTCTCTCTCTCTCCCAGGTGTCAGAATGCTGTGTGAACTGCCACCTGCACAGGCCACTCTGGGACCCGGCTTCCCTCCTCAGGTCATACTTGCTGCCCCTCCTGAAAGTAACAGATTTCCATTCTTTAATTGTCATGACAATGGAGATAACAATAGTTAAAACCCAAGTCTTCTTTTGCCTCTTCTAACATTTCTTTTAAGAGACAGCACTGAAGAGTAATAATAATAATAATAAAGTATAGTAGCTGGAGACGCAGTGGGATGTGAAGACCTGAAGTCACCTTGACAGACAACAAGAATGCTCAGTGGTCAAGATCAGATGGGACAGCTTATCGCTCAGATAATTCCACCTTTCCTTCTTAGTGCCTGGAGCACGCTATCAAGAGGTGGAGCTCTGTCCTCTTCTCTTGGTCAGAACTGGCTCTCAGATAGCTGTAGCTGAAGAATCTGGAGGGAAGGGTGCTCTTGGCCTTCCAGATCTAGGGCTTAATCATGCCTGGCTGATTCAGCGTCTTCCTCCTCGAGGCCTCAAGCTGTCCTTTTAGATGGTCAGTGCTACTTAATGCACAGAGACCACCACAGTGCCACAAAAAAGGAGAACCCGAATGGACAGAGCCACAAGAAGGGGTGAACTGGTGGCAGACAGCAGCTTCTCGGACACAGCTCTGGGCGTCATCTGACTGCACACGTGCAAGGCACCTCAAGCGACAGCAGTTGAGGAACTTTCCAGCTGACAGTCAGCCAGTTCTGGTAATTGTGAGAGGAAAAAGAAATAGATGGTGTTTAAGGAGATTATGTTTTGGTATGGTTCATTCTGGAGCAGTTAACTGAAACTCCTGGGAATCTTTCCAAGAGAGCAACATTGTTCAATAGAAATGTAATGTGACCCACATCTCACTGCAAATGTTTTAGTAGCTATATATACATATATATGTAATGTAAAAAGAAGCTGCGTGTGGGTGGCTCATGCCTGTAACCCCAGCTCCTGCGGAGGTGAGGAACAGGAGGACCGAAGTTCAAGGGAAGAGCATGAGACACGCTTCTCATCCCATTGCTGGGCACAGCATGCATGCCTGTCATCTCAAGCTATGTGGGAGGCTGAGAGTAGGAGGGCTGTGGCTCCACACATGCCCAGAAGAGTCAGTAGAACTTCATGTCTTTGGAGAGAAGCTGGATTCAATGGTGTGCAGCTCAGCAACACCTGGGAGCCGACAGTAGGCAGAGATGGCCGAGCAGGTGCGCTTCCAAGTAGACAGCAAGACCCCAGCTCAAAAAATAACCAGCTGTGCTAGCCTGGCAAGTGTGAGGCCCTGTGCCCAAACCCCAGTACTGCTGAAAGAGAAATAAGGAGGATTTAAAAAAAAAACATAAAAAGAAACAGGTGTGCTTAATTTAAATAACACATTAGTACCTTTTAGTTAATGCTGAACAGCGAAAATGTTACCATTTCAGAGTCAGTAATATTATTGAGATAATTTATAATTGGCATACTGTCTTCAAGATCATACACACATATAACCTCTTGAACTTTGGCCACATTTCAAGCAACCAAAATAGCCAGTGCAGTTTCAAGAAGCTCTTATTTGCTCTAACTTCTGAAAACCACTAATAATTTCTAAAACAAAGAATTCAGCAAGAAGAAACAATGGAAATCACTTCTTGCTGTAGGCCAGCTAATGAGCATTTTTCTTCCTCAGAGATTCCATGCACACAAACGCTGATAGGGCACTACTGCCCTTCCTTAGATGAGAAAATGAAGCCTCAGACAAAGAGACTGATCACCCCACAGCACCTCAAAAGCTCCTTTCAGACTGCAGTCATGAGGACTGTCAGATGACCGCAGATGCGTAGGCCACGCTTCTGTGGGAATTTATTACAGAGACAATAGAAAATTCATGAACCTCCAAATGCAAAGTCTCGGTCATGTCATCATTTAACAGCTTCCCAATTTATCCCAAAGTAAGGGAACTACGATGGAGAACAAGGACCTGAGTAAGCAACGGCATGATCCTGAGCAGATGACCGGTGTGCAGAACCCTTCACAGAGCGGCCGGGACTCTGAGAGGACTCCTGAAAGACAGGAACTCCCTGGAAGGTGAGTTCCAGGTGTGGGAAGATTATGCAGGAAAAACAGAGGCAGCAAAGAGGTGGGACACAATTAGATGCTAAGGTTGCTACATCTAGAGTATTCACTTTGGAAACAAGGGCATTGACTAGAGAAGTAGGTAAAGTGGGGTAATGAAATGACTGCCAGCCACAGACTGAAGAGCTTAGGCGTTTAACTGAAACAGAACACTGATGAGGAGTTGTGAGCAAGAAAGCAAATATAAATTGTGTTTTAGAAACACTTTACTGGGACTGAGAAAGAAGCTCAATGATAGAATGCCTGCCTTGCATGCATGAGGCCCTGAGCTCCATCCCAATGTGGAAAAAATACAGACAGCAAGCTTGGCACGGGGAAATCTAAGACAGACGCTGTGGGCATCATGTTAAAAAACTGTAAGGCAGAGGAGGAGAGATGGGAATACAGATTCGCTAGACAGACACAAACACCACTGTATCAACAGGGCTCTGAAGTCAATGGACATAGGGAATTAGGCAAGAAAGGAGACAAGAGAAGAAAGAAATGGTGATTGAGCTTGGCTGACTAGGTCTTAACTGATTTTTGGTAGATTCCTGAGAAAAAGAGCATAGAATGGGAGATAACTGTAAAGAAATACTGTGTCAGCTGGGTACTGGTAGCTCATGCCTGTAGTTCTAACTACTCAGGAAGCTGAAACAGGAGCATCAAGTTCAGAGCCACCCCAAGCAGGAAAGTCTGTGAGACTCTTATCTGCAATTAATGCCCCCCAAAGCCGGAAGTGCAGTGGTGGCTCAGGTAGTATAATACCAGCCTTGAGCAAAAGAAGCTCAGGGACAGTGCCCAGGCCCTGAGTTCAAGCTCCAGGGCTGGTGAAAGCAAGAGGGAGGGAGGGAGGGAGGGAAGGAGG